TAGTAAGGATGCTCAAATTGCTCTTTGGGGTTACTCTGGTGGAACTCAACCTTCACTCTGGGCTGCTGCTATCGCTCCCACCTATGCACCTGAGTTGAATATCATTGGAGCTGCTGTGGGTGGACTTCTCATTGACTTAGAGCATGTTGCCACTACTGCCATGAAGTTCCCATTTGCCGGTCTTGTTATTGATGCCATCAATGGTCTTGCAAACGAATATCCTTTGTTGATGCAATATGTTAAAGATAACATTTACCCAGCTGTCCAACAAAAGTTCTTTAGTGTTGATCATCAATGTTTAATTCCAAGCGCTTTGAGTCAACTTTTCACGAACTGGAATCAACTCACTCCATTAGGTGTTAATGTTTTACAAGTACCAGTTGTGAAGAATGTTACTAATCTTAATAACTTGCTCAACTTGGACGCAAAGCCAAGCATCCCATTCTTCTTCTACAATGCTAAATTGGATGAAATTGTTCCTGCTACTGATGCAGACAAATTATTCACAAAGTGGTGTTCTCAAGGTGTTAGTATTCAGTACAACCAAGATTTATACAGCGAACACATTACTCAAGCTATTTTTGGTGCTGGTGACGCATTCAGTTGGATCAAGGATAGATTCGATGGTAAGACACAATCTGGTTGCAGAAAGAGACCAACAATTTCCAACGCCTTGAACTTTCAGTCTCTTCTTGGATTCAATGACATTATTAGCGGTGCTCTTAGAACTCTTTTTGCGCAATTGGTCGGTCCTAATGGTGGACTTCAACTTGGATCGTATGCAAACCTTCCAGCAAAGGGTAACGACACTGATGCCACTAGAACTATTGTTCAAGGTGTTGCTACTAGCTTTGCACAATCGGACATTGACGCAGTTGCTTCCGGCGAAGCTGTATTGGTCAACGCTCCCACCAGTTCTGCTTAAATGTCTTACATTTATTATGTCAGCGCGAAAGCGACAGTATTTTCGTGGGGACCCGGTCCCTTTATATTAGAATGTTTGTGCTCAATGAATTTAAACCTAGCCAGTCGTAGAATATATTTAGCAAATATTTCCTTAGAAACAAATACTGATTGCTGATTGCTATCGATTCTACTATACTAACCATCAGATCAAACACCATTGCTTGAACTATTAGAGATTAGTAACAGTTTATAAACACTTCATTCCTGTAATCTCGTGGTTCCTGTACAAGTCATGACAACAACACAGATGAGTGGAATACAGTAACCAATCGTGCTTACTCGTTATCACTTGAAAATGCATTCTTCCTAGAAAATATTGGTAAGTATAAATTAATGAACGGTCTAGTAGCCACTAACTTCGCATATATTATTTAGAACTGTTGTCGTGGGCAAGATCCAACTAATTCATGTTGGATTGTAGGCTATTTCTTCATGGCCGTGAAGTTTAGGTTTACATCTTACGTTGGGTACTCTTAATATTTAAGTAGAATATAAAACAATATTCAAAACGCATATAAATCATGGAGCTTTACCAGTACAAATTACTATTGAGACCTCTTATTGCACTTTAATCTACTAGTTAACTTCTCCCAATAGTTATGGTTGACTTATCTACCAGCATCCATATTTTCAAGGGCTATAGTTTCTCTTGTGTTGTTTCATTGTATTCTCCACCCCGTTGGACTGGTAAAATTAGCCACTCATACTCTAGTCGCAGTGCCCAAACCAATGTCTGGCGAATAAGCTCCTATACTTTACTGTAACGTTGTGACGTAAAAATAGTTTAGCCGAATATGTTAAGAGTTCTTTCGGCAGCGCCAGCACCGAAATTATAGTGGTGACAACATTTGGTAAAATTTAAATAGTCAGTTCCTTGTTATTTTGGTGAGAGATTAATATTTTTGGTGTTTTTGGTGTTTTTGCGGCTTAGCATAATAGACTCGGAACGCCTTACTGTGCTTCTGTGAGTTTCGAAGTACGGAAGGCACTTTATTGTGCGACGTGTCGGATTTTTTTATTTTATTGTTCTGCAGTACATCATATCAGTGCTCAGGCAGAATCTTCAGTTGAGTTGCGATGATGTAATAGCGCTCACATTAATTTACCAGTTCTCCGGGAGTGTCAATATTTATGGGGATTGTGTATTCTTATGGCTCACCTCCCCTCTACCCCCATTTTGTGATCCTTGGAATAGCCTATTTGGGAAAGGTGAGGTTGCCTTGTTATCTGATGGCAATACTCCTGTAAATCTTGAGCTGTGAACATATTTGGATAGTTTCTGGCTATACACACTTCCCCTGACCTGACCAATCGTGTCAGTGTCATGATAATAGCTCCAAATTTGGATATCAATTTATGGTTCTAGTACAAAGAAATGAAAAATAGCACAATATCTTGTCAGCGGATGTCTCGATTTTAAAGTACTCAATGCTGGGACATTTCATGAACTACTCCAAGTGAAGCTTTCAAACACATTTGATTCACACCACATTAATAAGTACAAATCTTGATATGCTATGAAAGAGTCTTTTAAGCAAGAAAGAGCTTGTTATTTGAAATGGTTAACGATTACGTCACTAACATATTTAGTTTCGAAGTTTTAAATGAAATGTAGGGAAAATTCTCTGAGGACTATCAATTGAATGCTGTACCCTTGTTGAGACAGTGGGTTGAGACAGTGGTTCTTGATTGGGCAATCAACTTATACGGCCCTGTAATGTATCTTTACTTAAAAGTGATGATTTGGGTTCAACAGTTCAACTTGGACCATAGATTAAATAAGCACCAATGTAAATTAAAGACCAAAATGTGACTTGGAAAAAGGAGGCATACGAAGTGTATTAATATCCTGTCCTATCAGGCACTTTCTGCCACATTAACTATGTGATTCTCGTCTTTCGCTGTAGTCATTGGCTTTATACAAGAATCCGTGAGTATCCGTCTCTATTCACTTGTTGCTAGAGGTATTTTTGAGCTTCTGATGAACCTTTCTATACACTAAATGCCGGGTACGAGAAGCTCAAGGCTGGTGTATATCAACTGGAGGAAAGTGAAAAACCCACAAGGGCTAGTAATTTTTGAAATTAGAATCAAGTCTGATTAACAATTTTTGTTCCGGTATCTTTCGAAAATAAAAATGCTACCGTGACCACAGTTCTTATTCCATTCAAATTTGATAATACCAAAATACCTTCTTTCCAACCGGCTTGACATTCCAGAGCCTGATTGTGCCCCATCTTATGCCTTGCAAACTGGATCAGATCCATCTACTTGGATCAGTACTCAAATTGAACAAGTTCTTTCTGAGGCTGGTTTGTACGAAGGTTGGGTTGTTGTTGTCCCGGACTTCTTGGGCCCTAAAGGTGCATTCGGTGTTGGTTTACAAGCTGCCCATGCTACTTTAAACTCTTTAAAAGCCGTTGTTTCATCTAATGCTATCACTGGAGCTAGTAAGGATGCTCAAATTGCTCTTTGGGGTTACTCTGGTGGTTCCCAGCCTACCGTGTGGGCTGGAGCTTTAGCTCCAACGTACGCTCCTGGATTGAACATCGTTGGTGCCACTGTGGGTGGACTTCTAAATGACTTAGAACAGGTTGCCACTACTGCCATGAAGTTGAAATTTGCTGGTATTGCCGTCAATCCCCTTAACGGCCTTGTAAATCACAGACTTTCTGCAATATCACAAAAAGAACATTTCCCAGCAGCCAAAACAAATTACTTTATAGTTGCGAAGCAATGTTTGATATCAAGCACTGTGAGTCAACTTTTTACAAGCTGAGATCAACTTAGTTCATTAGGCGTTGGTTGGTATTTCAACATTCAATTGTCAAGTATGTTACCTCTGCTAATAAATTGCCCAACTTGGATGCAAAACAAATTTCCTATTCTTCTTCTACATACCAAATTTGGTGAAAAAATTCCTGCAGTTGATGCAGACAATTCTATGCCAAATGATGTGCCCAAGGCATTAGCATCGAATACAACCCACCCAATTTCATTTAGTGGGCACAGTACTCAAGCCGTTTTTAGCGTTGGAAGTGCATTCAGATGGATCAAAAGAAGGATCGAAGGTGAGAAACAATCTCGCTGCAACATACAAAACACTACTTCAAATACTTTGAACTTTGAATTGATTACTGGATTCAAGAATATTAGGAGTGCTCTTATAACTCTTTACTTGCAAGAGGTCAGTCCTAACGGTGTATCTCAACTTGGATTGTACGCAAACCTTCCAGCCAAGGGTAACAATATTGATACCACTAGAACTATTGTCCAAGGCATTGCTACTGTCTATACGCAGTTTGATATCGATGCAGTTGCTTCCAGTGATGCTATATTGGTCAATGCACCAGCCAGTACTGCTTAATATTGATATCTTCATTATTGTCTTGTACGCGAAATCGTTTGTATTTTGGTGGACTAAATCTTTATATTGGAATGTTTGTCTCAAACTATACAAATCTTGGCCCGTTGCAAACTTGTCTCTCCTGCCCCAATACGAATTAATCACCGTTAATTGTATTCATTATTATATTTCTCATCAGAACATAGCATGGATCTTAATGTATGGGGAAATGTCGTCAACTCTCATTAAGTACAAATATTTTCGAGCTCTCAGCCAGGATTTGTTCGTGAACACGGTATAATTTTTCTTTTAAAAGGCATCTGGATATTTTCAAGGTATGATCCAACAGCAATTCAATCCTCTCTACTATCGTATTGGTCAACGCTATTGCTTTCAGCTAAATGCTCATTCTTTGAAAGTAAGTATACTTCACGTTTTTCCTCAAGTGTCTGTTACCCAAGCGACCGGAATTCTACAGAATATTATAGATGCAACGAGATCAACTATAATTTAGATACACAATATAGAATAAAAATAAAAATTTTATGAAAATTTGGAATAGCTGGACTCATACTTTCTTGTAATGCCCGACTAAATGACATTGGAAGGTGAGATAGCTCCCTTGAAAAATGTCTCAGTTTCAGTGAATTCAAAAGAAAGACGGAGAACGAACACCAACCGCGCAATGAGCCAGAACTGAATATTATTGAAAATGACTGTGGAATGGACATTGATGTCATTGATATTACAAATAAGAACTATTGGATCTACATCTAGATTTTTCTGAACTAGTAAGAGAGAGGTTCTGGCACTTTGAATTTGAGGTATTAATGTTTGATTGATCAGATCAAGCTAGGAATTGAATGAAATCTGTTTGCGAAATCGCTTACACATGGAAACGAAACTGGATGAAGAATCTTGTAGAAAGGCTCGTGAACATTTTTAGTTGTGTAGAAAATTGCTATTAGTCTAGGATAAAAGAAGTAAGAGAATAATATAAGGCGTGCCTGTAAGCTATTATTCGATCATTTATAAGCATAATTAACTAAATTTTAACTTCATAATTTCGGCTGTACCAAAGGCAAACTTATTTTTGAAGGTATGAGAATTTATGTTACCCAAGCTTAAAAATATACAGTCACCCTTTCAGAAATTGGTAACAACTAGAATACGATAAAGCATTGTTTTCCTACGCTGTAAGTTCGAACATAGGTTTGAATTTCTTGCTTTTAAGAGCTACGAATTCTTCAATAATACTAGGTCGTTTAAGTAACTAAAGCGGTAGGTTTACAAATGTACTATACTATTCGGAAATATTCCGAGCTTAACTGAGACCATTATCACCTGTCAACTATATAATTGCAGTCCCTCAAGCTCGAAGAAGCTAGCGATTTGATTCTACAAATAATATTTCATACCAATTTTTCAATTATGAATACATCACTACTTACTCAAACTATTAGAATGTTACGACTATTTCCAAATCAATCGACTGTTCATAGCTTAAGTATAATTTCTTCACTAAAACGTAAGAAAATACCCTTATGTTAGGAATGATAACTAATTTGAGAGTTCAATAGATAATTCCTAGTTTCTTGGGAGCTAAATGACAATCATTATGTATTTCAACTACTAAATTCTTTCTTTAGAGATAAGGTCTTAGATTCAACTATTAGACGCAAGTTATTCAAGTCCTTTGTCAATTCCAATTATAATCATGCTCCATTGTTGTATATAGAGCTTTAATCGATCTTGAAAGTAAGAGTTAGATAATTGGCAGAGCTGGTTAGATCTAGAATTAATAATGTTTATCCACTGATTTCCTGAAGCATAGTATTCCTATGTGCTGGTGCCATAGTTTGTAGAGTATCAAAAGATAGTCTTAGAATACAGTTTGCAATACCGATTTTTAAATTTTTTTAGTGTCACTCAGTTACACTTCTACGATTCTCATTTCCCATTAAATTCTACTGAATTTACCAAGATCTTAATCTATGAGATTGACACCATCGCTATTATAGTATTTGTTCCTCTTTTTCTGATAAAACAGTAGGCCCGTTCAATGATACAATCAGACAACCGGCAGCCCAACAAGTAGTACCTACACTATTCACATGTAAGCAGTGCCTTAGGGAAGCACATTGCGGAGTACATAGAATTTTGAGCATATTGCAAGATACCGCAAGAAGCCTTCACCCCAACTGCAGCACATGATCAGTTTCCAGGGGTACTATAGTGCATGGTAGCGCCGTGCCAAAGTGAAAGAAGCTTTCCAAATATTTCGGAGAACCCGGAATTGCTAGTATTTAGAGATTTCCTGGCTCATAACGGCCCTTCGTACTTCAAACCCAATACACAGCACATGGAAAGCAATGGCACAACTACAAAACATTATACAAGGTGCAGGTAAATCACATACCTCTTCCAGATTAGTATGTTTTTTGGAAACCTGTGTCGACAGTAGCATGTAATCGAATATGTATTGATTGAAATAGATTGAATTGCTTTCAGGGAACCCTGGAGTTAACCTGATTGGGATAAAAGCCAGGGCAAATTCATGGGGTCAGAATCCTATAGTGAGAGAGTGATAATACCTGTGATTCTGGTGATTTTGGCCGCTTTGCATAATAGCCTCGGGACGCCTTGCTGCATTAATGTCATTAGGTACTAAATAATCTTTTTTTTTGCACAATGTGCATAATTTTTTGTTATCTCCTTCTTCTGTTGCAGCTCGTATTATATGCCCTTGTTCAATCCTCAGCCTCGAGTTGCGAAGCTATACCAATGTATTTTTTTTTTGCAATACTGGGGTACCATTTGTTGTAAGTATTAATTAGAACTCAGTCTTATTACATCCCTCACAACTATCCACTTAATGAGCCGTTGAATATTTAGAAAATGGTGAATTCTCCCAGTTAACAGTTTTTATCCTCTAAGTGTTGAGGCTGTGGGCCTTTTTTGCTTGACAATTCCAGGCTACATACATTTCCCAATATTACCAGTTGTGTCACTTTTCGAATGGTTGCAATTTCAAATAAGCTCAAGCTTTAGGATTTTATTTGCCTCTAAACCTTGGCACAGAGAGTCAAAACTAGCTTTCTATTTTGGCTGCTGTTGTCTCAATCATACTAGTTCGAAGTAATGGAAATGCTGGGGCTAGTCATAAAACAAAAATGAGCCAGTTATCAATCAACCCAATCCATTGCATTGGCGAATATAGCAGTTGATAAGAAGAGAGTGTGTTACTTTAGAAAGCAAAAGGCCTGTTTTCATTGTGCTCAAAAATCAATATCATATGTTGAACTGTTTTAAAGTTTAAGTAGAAGGTGTGGGGAAAGCTCTAATACTACTCGAAGATAATCATTTTAATTTTATGAACTTCCCGAGATAGAGAGCTTGATTGTAATATTTACATAAGCTTAAGTTGCAAACTGAGGTGTTTATCTTTTTGGTTTAACTAAGGTATGTTTTTTTGATTAAAATACCGACAATAGCAATATTAGACCATTTCTGGGGAGCCATTTTTAGCTCTTCTGCTTAATTTTGTATCCTATTTTATAATTCAAATACGTTTACTTTCTCTTGGCCAGTTTATGGTTCAATTAACCGAGTTTTCGGCTGTAGCCAAAAATGCAGAATGCATGGATGCAAACACAACTGACTAAAATGAATTCCGTACTATTATTCGCAATCATTAAGAAGGAGTCTGAAAATACAGGGTGTTGGAGGTAAGTGACAACATAAAGGGGGGTAATTCGAAATATATAAATATCCAGTCTTTCCTTACTTCAAAATCCAGTTTAGACACTATCTACCATAGGAAATATGAGAATCTTATCTATCGCCTTCATTTTTGCTTTTATCCAGGTTGCTTTTGCTGCTCCTCTAGATGCTCTTGTTGCTAGAGGTATTGTTAAACCTTCTGATGATTCTTTCTATTCGCCAAAGGATGGATACGAAAAGCTTAAGGTAGGTGAAATCATTAACTGGAGGAAAATGACAAACGCATATGGCATTGCAATCGTCAAAGAAAGAATAGATTCTGCATACCAGTTATTGGTCCGGTCTGAAGACTCTTTCGGAAACCCAAATGCTATTGTGACAACTGTTCTTATTCCATACAACGTTGATAACACTAAAATCTTATCCTACCAAGCTGCTGTTGATACCCCAAATCCTGATTGTGCTCCTTCGTATGCTTTGCAACTTGGATCAGATCCATCTACTTGGATCACTACTCAGATCGAACAAGTTCTCTCTGTGGCTGGTTTGTACGAAGGTTGGATTGTTGTTATTCCTGATTTCTTGGGTCCCAAGGGTGCATTCGGTGTTGGTTTACAAGCTGCCCATGCTACTTTAAACTCTTTAAAAGCCGTTGTTTCATCTAATGCTATCACCGGAGCTAGCAAGGATGCTCAAATTGCTCTTTGGGGTTACTCTGGTGGAACTCAACCTTCACTCTGGGCTGCTGCTTTGGCTTCCACCTATGCACCTGAATTGAATATCATTGGAGCTGCTGTGGGTGGACTTCTCATTGACTTAGAACATGTTGCCACTACTGCCATGAAGTTCCCATTTGCCGGTCTAGTCATTAATGCCATCAACGGTCTTGCCAATGAATACCCGGACTTATTGCAATATGTTAAGAAGATCATTTACCCAGCTATCGAAACGAAGTTCTTCAGCGTTACGAAACAATGTTTGATACCAAGTGCTTTGAGTAACCTCTTCACAAACTGGAATCAACTCACTTCATTAGGAGTTAATGTTTTACAACAACCAGTTGTGAAGAATGTCACTAGTCTTAATAACATGCTCAACTTGAACGCAAAACCAACTATCCCTTTGTTTTTTTACAATGCTAAATTGGATGAAATTGTTCCTGCTACTGATGCAGACAAATTATTCGCAAAGTGGTGTGCCCAAGGTGTTAGTATTCAGTACAACCAAGATTTACTCAGTGGACACATTACTCAAGCCATTTTTGGTTCTGGTAGTGCCTTCACTTGGATCAAGGATAGATTCAAAGGTAAAAGTCAAACCGGTTGCAAAAAGAGGCCCACAATTTCAAACGCGTTGAACTTCGAATCTCTTCTTGGATTCAATAATATTATTAGCAGTGCTCTTAAGACTCTCTTCTTCCAAGCAGTTGGCCCACAGTCACAGCTTTCCTCGCAGCTTGGTTCCTTTGCAGACCTCCCAGCCAAGGGTAATGACACTACTGAGGCTACTAGAACTATTGTCCAAGGCATTGCCACCAGTTTTGCTCAATCGGACATCGATGCAGTTGCTTCTGGTGATGCTATTTTGGTCAATGCACCAACCAGTGCTGCTTAATCTTGATACGTCTATTAGCGTCTTATATAAGCCAAATTGGTTATATTTTCGTGGACTATATCCTTATCTTAGAATGTTTGTGCTCAATCCTTTTAAATCTTGTGAATTGTAAACATGGTAACTTTGTATGTGTAATTAATGTCGCGTACCTAAAAAATATTTAGTAGAAATGCTTGGACCAGCACCAGGGGACTGAGCATAAGAAAGCTCATTGCTGAATAGAATATGTACAGTAGTTCAACAAGGTCATGATGAGTACCATCCACTTGTTCAAATTCATAGTTCCTAAGTATTAAATATTTCAACTCTTTCGCTCCAATTTGAATTTGATCCAAGTAATCTTAGCAGTGTAACCCCTAAGCTTGATTGCCAGTACTGATCGAAATCAATACATATATGCGACCAAACAAAGTTCATCGACTATAGATAGTTCTTAATAAAATTTGATGGAATTTTGAGAGGAGAAAACGTAGCATCAAACAAATTGATCGTGGTTTCAAAGATCCTTTTCACAACCAAATCGCTTTTGTCCCTACTTCGCAAGATGTATACCCAACCATACTTTTAAGTCATCAATGATGCTGACACTATTTCTTCCCCATCGTATGTTGTGGAGGTTAGTTCTCTATCTAATTGGAACACTGCTCAGATAGAGCCAACTCTTTTCGGGGTTGATTTGAGATGAGGGTTGAGGCATCTTCATTGTTGATTCAGGGTATTCCTGTTCCATTACAGGCCACCAATGCTTCTTTAGATTTCTTGAAGGCTACTGTGGCTTCAATGGCAATAACTGGAGTGGTTAGTATGCAGGTGTTTTTGCTATTAACGCTCTTGCAGATGTGTATGCAGAGTTGATGCAATTATTCAAAGTACTGTCTACAAGGGAACCAACTAAAGTTCTTGGGCGTCGCGAAACAACGCTTAGTCTGAAGTGAGCTAACAACCTATTTACTAACTGGAAACATTCGGTGTGAACGTCTTGCGAGCTCCCAATGTCAAGAATGTTGTTGATGCGAAGCACTTAAAGTTCGAAGTCCACTATCTCTTCGTTTTTTACAATAATACTGAATGAAAAAGATCGTGATGGATATCCCAATTGCCAAAAGGTGTGCAAAACACATTAGCATTGAATTCAGCAAACTTTACTCTATTATCACATTTTTCAAAGAGTGTGGTACGTAGTGAATTCTGTTGGATAAGAATAAGTTCAATGGTCAGAAGCAATCTAATTCTGTAGTAAGGTATGCACAGTTTCTTGAGCCAGAAATTCGAATCCCTTCTAATAACAATGCTATATATCACTTACTTGTAACTTTTTTTACCCGCTATTTGCCCCCCCCTTTAATATGATCTACTCCAAACCTTGGCAGACCTACCTGAGGTTAATGTGACTACCAACATAACGAAAATTGTGCAAAGTTATTTGCTTGGTCTGCAATTGCAGTTTCTCCCAACAAATTTATTTCGGTGATGGTTTAGGTGTAAGAAATTTTGGACCGAAACATGTCCTGCATAGTAAGAGCTTGCACAAAATGTACAATCGTTTTCAGTTCCTAGGGATCTACAGTGTTTTTAGAGAACATTCGAACCCTCGGCTCGGAATTTTTCGTAATACGGGCAACTCGATTTTCGTAATAGGGGCCGGAACTTTTCATACTTAGGGCAGATTATTCATACCTCCAAAAAAAATTGCCACCCTCTCCCCTGCCTACAAATTAATCGTGTAGCACATCTAGAGATTTGTGCTTTAATGTAATCGAAAAAAACCAGACAAGCACCTCTCATAATTTCTCTTGCCTGCTCATCTAGAAGAATCGCTTTTCTCTACACAATTCAATATGCTCACCGGCATGTCTGCAAAATCCCTCATAGCTTTCAATAGAGATTTTACTCGTGGCTTCTTTCACTTTTGGAGTTAATTGCTCCTTTTTGCTTAGGTTAGATCGTTTTACTTTAGACTTACAAACTGACCAAAATTCTTCTATAGCATTTAATGCTGGAGAATAAGGAGGTAAATAGACTAACTCCAATCCGCTCAGAGCAACTAATAGCTGAATATCACGACGTTTGTGGATAGCAGCATTATCAAGAATCAAGTACTTCATTTCCTTTAGTTCCTCGTTCATTTCTATTTTCTTGATGACGCTTTTGATGAATAAACTTATGTGATTAGCTGTAGTACCTCTAGCCACAGGTTGACTTACAGTAGAGTCTAACTTTCTC